TCTGGACTATGTTGGACTGTGTTTTTACAGTCACGTGGAACTTTTAATTTTCCCTGATAAGATAGACTCATTGCCAGAGTTGACTTTTTACACTTTAATATCAGAACAATTCAATTAATGCGACAGATTTACGCCCATAAATCGTCATTAACTAGCGGTCCTGACATAGCTGTAATGGGGCTACAGCCACCATCCCCGATCATAACGATGCTCCCATAATGCCACAGTGAGCCACACTACTCTTCATCATCACTACCATCACATGTGGTCTATATAAAATTCATACCATTGGTCCATCTGATGACCAAGACATAAAAATAAAAACAATCCTCTGTGACCTCCAACATGACCTCTGTTGACCTTCACTGAACTTAATCAACAGAAAATCCAGTAATTTATTTTATTCTTCATGGAAATCTGAGTTTCCATATATTAGTTTTTTTCTGATTTAATGCAAAACATGGTTTTCTTTTTTAAGTTATATTAGCTACCTTTCTAGATAAGAAATTGTGCTCAAAATAATTTCAAAGTATCTAAATGTTGCTTATCCATGAAAATGTCATGATACACTCAAATAAATAATAAAGAGTACTTGAGTATTTCAAATGAAATTTACTGTAGCTCAATACTAAATTTAAATGTTAAATATGACCAAATCTGTAGGCAATATATAGCATGGCATACAGTAAAACCTCTGCATTCTGCCACCATTTGTCCAGATAAATGCTGGCATTATAGAGGGGTTTGGCAATAAATTGAGGGAAGCATATAAAAGAGTTCTTAAGAAAACGAGAAAAAAGGACCGTGAAATATATATTGGCGGTAAGATAGGTGGCAGATGAAATGAGAGGCATTATATCAAGGTTTTACTGTATATAAAACTGTGATGAGTGTTTATTTTACAAAAACAAATCCTTTTCAGGAAACTAAAAGTACACAAGTAAATTAAGTGATATATACCAATACATTAGTGATTGCCATTTACTTGTACAAACATACAAGGATTTTTATTTCAATAAATATGAACACCCCTCAATCTGGTACATGGCATGAAAAGTACCACATAATATACCACCAAGAAAATCATATGAACTATCCCAAAGAAAATTGTCCCTGATTAGACTTGACGCTCCATAATTGGTTATAAATCAATTAGCATACTGCCATGGCTGGGTACACAAATCTAATAGGCTGATAACTGCAGAGGACCCTGGCCCCAGGCAGGGTCAAATGGAGGCGTTGTCAGGCATTATGAACCTGGAGGCCAGCGCAGGACCAGAACCATTCTATCAGTCCGGGACACTTATTTCATTTGGAATACTGAGAATATCGTTTCAGCCATCGGGAGACTCCTTATCTCCATTAATAAATTCTGTCACCTTATTTCATTTTCCCATCCTTTTTTCTTGGTTTTATCACAGAAATCTTTCTGTCAGTCAATTCCATGTCTTTGACTCATTTTTTTGTGAAAATTTCATTAAAATTAGTCTTTTGGTATGTTTGTCATTAAACATAGGTACTTATATGGACATGTATGCCCACTACCTTATATGGACATGTATACCCACTAATATTTTGAAGCTGCGGTGGCACTCACCAGGTACCGGCCGCAGGTCAGTGGTTTTCGCCAAGCACATCCTTAAATGACCATAGCTGTTAATAGAATGTAAAACACAAACAAACCAAACTAAAGCAATCCCTGTCATTTTCCCCATTTTTGACTCTTCCTCCATAAAGAAGACAAGGAGCTAGCTAGGCTAACTTATCATCTCTTGCAAACATATCAGTGTGTTTTTAGTTTCTATGTCGTATAAATCTCTTACGAAATCATTTTATTTTTCTGATGTTTCCTTTTCAATATATAGTTGATAAAAAACAAGTTTTTTGCACATCTTACACAGGTTGCTGTTGGGTGCATCGTGGAAGCCATGGAACTCTCGGCATGACATTGAGATCTTCTTGACGCTCTTATTGGGTGAATGAACTCATAAATAAGGACTTATGTTTATAAAGTCTTCAAGTAACGGATATACACCGCATGATTACGCCACAAATAAACTCATGATTTACATAAATTTCTTCAGTTTTTGAATTAAGGATCCCTGTCGGACTACAGGCAAAAAAACTACAGAAAATGTTCATGTGGTTTATCATAAAGATAGTAACCTCCCATTAGTTAACTCATTCACCCCTTAAAACACATTTGAGCTCTTCCAATTTAAACGTTGGAATAGTTCATTATGATCACGTAGCTCAGTTGGTAAGAGTGACTATATCATTTGTGATCAGAGGTCCAGGGTTCGAATCCTGTTCTGACCCCATTGCATTTTCAAACACAAACTTGCTGTTGCTGTTGATTTTTTCAATTTTTCAATTTTTCTCCCATCCTTGCTATTATTTATTTTTTTCATTTAAGTTTCACAAGGAATGATTTATTCAAGTTATTGTCATGCCAGTTAAACTAGAAATGTCTGTAAGACATAAATGCCCCCGCTCATGGATGGGACGGGACAGGACGGACATTGGCAACACTATATGCCCCCCTATATTATGGCAGGGGCATAAAAATTCAGATCTACAGATCTGGCAGTGGCAGGGATAATCCTGAAATGGGCCATGGGGCGGGTCATTGACCTCTCAAAATTGTAATTGACCCCTCCATGTTCCAATTTTCTTTTAATTTTACACAGATTGGCTCCTCCTAATTTGATATTGACCAAAATTGGCTGAAATTGGCCCATTACTCTGAAATTCCTGGATTTACCCTGGAGTGGTACGGAGATCCTTCAGCACAGTAATGACCTTTTTAAGACAAGTCTCCAACTGCTTGTTATTTTATTTCATATAAAAACATGAAACACAAAACTGACACAAACAATCCATTTTCTTACCAACGCCTGAGACAAAATATATGATATCCGTACAATTATTGGAAGACCCCGTTCAAAGGTCAGACATATATTGCCCCCGGCATCAGTAGTCAAAGCTGCGCCTACCAGCACACTGTGGTTGAGATGCTGTTAAACATTCTATATCTCGGAGAAAAATGTAATTTTCAGACAGTGCCTAAACCTTGGAACAAACCCTCGACCTTTGACCTCCACAGAAACCATTGGTCCATTTCAATAGTAACAAATGTCTTGACTGTAGCTGTTTGTGACCGTTGAACTTCTTCCTAGGAACTGTAAATGTTGTCGGTTTTTAAGGGTCTGACTTTCCCCGGTTTTTTTCAAGTTCCTATTATACCACAAAATAATTTTTCCTTCCAAAATTATTTCTTAAATCTTAATGGAGGAAATGTAATATTAGAAACAGATTCCATGAATTACCAAATATTTGCATATGAACCCTCAAAAACATACTTGAACAGTTGTTTTTTTGTGGGTTTTTTTTTGGGGGGGGGGGGGTTCAAACTTGTTCAATGCATTGTTATACTTTATAACATATTACTAGCAACAACAATAACAGTCAAAGAGCACCAACAAAACCATGAGTAGCTGTACATCCCCAATTAAAGTAAAGTTTGATCAAATTGATGATAGGATCTAGATTGTCAAAAATAATTCTGAACACAATGCAGACAGCCGTTGGTACACTATGAACCTCATCATAGAGAGGCAGGTCTTACAAATTTCTTTAAGAAATAAACAAACTACACAAGAAAAAGTCATGAAATTAACTGAAAGACTAATTTACATTTTGAATGATGCATACACTTCTGTTCTATAAACAGGCACAAACTTTTCAACCAATCGTGTCCTTCCAACTGATTAAGAGTTTAATGCATGCATCTTAATCATCACAAAAACTCGTGAGAAATTGGCATGTACAACAGGCTCTTCAAAACTTCCTGTTTACAAAGCTAAAATGGTTTTAATTAAATGATTTAGACTGCACTATACAAAATGTCACCTATTAATCCTATATATATAATCATTCACATATGTGTCATAAAGTTGTGTTTCCTGCATCCGACTGAGTAGCCTATCAAATCTTTTTCTTTAAAGTCAATGACCTCTGTAATATGACCTTTGATCTTTACCAATGGTAAGTATACTAGGGACAATACATTTTATTTGTAAATTCCTTAATGAAAATTCAACGAGACAAAAAATCTTGTCAATTTGCTTCCTTTTGAAACATAAGTGATTTTTGTAGCAAAACATACTGACCATTCACTTTTCTTTCTTTCTAAAGAGTTCAGTAATAGCATTGTATTCAAATGTCATATTAAGCAACATTTCAACATGAAATATTTTAAATTTTGCTGAAGTGAATTTACCAATAAGTTTCGACAACAAAATAAATTGTCTTAAATTGCATGTAGATAGTGGCGTATACCCATACCTAATGGGGCCACACAAGGCTTGCTTGACTTTGGCCCATCTTGTACCCGAAAGGCAGACTGGCTAGCTTATTAGGCCAATATGTTTAATATGCCCATGCAATCAAACAGTTTGCAACATCGTCTATGCAGTAGTGTCTAATTTGTGTGCTCAATTCAAATATAAGTCAATCACATGACCAGCGTAGACATGTTTACCAGGCAGTCCAAGGCAGTCAATTAATTCAGTCAGTCCATCATGTCTTTTTTTCAAGTAGTCTCATTTTCACAATGGATTTCTATTTACAGGTCTTTATATATATTCATTTCATCAATTACTTTTTTAAAATAATGCAATTGATTCCAGGTGTTCAGAATTAACATTTATTCATCAATGTAATTGTAACGGAACTGGACTGGGTCGATTGTCGGCGACCAGATAGCTCAATTGGTAGAGCATCCGTCTAGAGTTCGGAGGGTCCCGGGTTCGAACCCCGGTCTGGCCGTGCATTTCTCCTCTCCTAGCTGTTACATAATTCTCAAAAACACATGAAAGATTTTTATAACTTGAAGAAATGTAAATTAATATTTAAATTTATCTTATGACTTATTTCTTACAATGTTGTGAGGGGGCTGGAGCTGATTTGCCATGATGGAAGAAGAAGATTTGTATTACCTTGTAAACTGCCGAGCAATTCCAATCTCTACAGGGAGGATCCAGGTCCCAAGGCTTCACAATAATGGCTGTCTCATTATCCATCTCAAAGCCAAAGGTCAAGTTTGTTCCCATGGCAATGGAAGCCTCAATATCAAATGGCTCATCCATAAACACACGTATGAATGGACGACCCTTGGAGGTCCAGGAGCCGGGTGTACAAGAAGGGAGTTCCGAGATGTGTTGCAGTAGAGAGATCTCCAAATCTCGTGGCTCGGGATGAATAACATTGACGACCACTTCAATCTCCGCCTGTGACAGAATGTTTGACACATTCACGTCTGAAAAGTAAAAAGGTGCCATCGTTAGTACCATCATACAACTACGTGTCGACAGGAAGACAGAATGTAACGTTACAATGACGACTAGTTTCAGGCAACACACAAAAACACATTTTATATCATAAACGTTTGCAGGCAAAAGCATAACTGTCTCTAGCCATTAAAAGCATTGAGGTGTGATGCCTACCACAATATGTTACAGGGCATAAATTCTTGAGTGAAAAATAAAAATAAATGTTTTGAATTATTGCAGTATCACCCATGGGTGATTTATGAACTCATATAAAGTTAAGCACCTAGATCAGTGAAATGTTTTGAGGGCATATGAATTTGCTACAGACAAACCAGTTTAATATACAGCATTAACTGTAATTTTAACCTGTGGCATATTTAAGATGATTTTTTTATACATGAGTTACATCCCAGCACAAACAACTGTCAAAGCTATTTCCCGAAACCGACTTCCTGCACCAAGCCACCTCCTGTCAAACAGGAAGTCATTTAATCTCCCTAGTTTTTGTGACCATGCATTCCTTTAAAGACACAGTAGTTTCCTATTATACCTAATCTTTACCAAAGTGTGTCTGATTGGGTGATACTGGTCACATGATTGGGCAATAGAACATCATGGCGCAAGAGCCATCTCAACCTGGTTCCAAATGACGGAAGCAAATGACAACAAGAGGCCCAAGAGGGCCTGTATCGCTCACCTGAATATTTAAGCAGTCATAGCAAAATATTCTCATTAAATATTATATTGCACTAAAAATATTTTTCTCGCAAACTTTGTTGGCTCCATCTGTTGAAACTACCAGCAAAATATTATTATAAGATTCTATGCTTTTTGATTCTTCTTCAGAAGTTGCTGTGATCTTGTAAGTAGGTCAATGTCATTTTCCTTTCAAATTGGTTAGCTCTATTCCAAAAAGCTACCAGCCAAATCTTATGAATCCATTCCTTTTAGTTCTCAAGAACAAATCCATTAAAATGTTGTTGACCTATGTGACCTCTAAAGTAGGTTGAGGTCATTTTCATTTGCAAACTTTGGTGAGCTCTATCTCGGGAAGTCACCAGCCAAATATTATAATTTTATGCCTTTTAATTCTTCAGAAGAAGCTGTTTGAACTGTTTGACATATTTGAACGCTGTGACCTT